CCCGCCACCTTCCCTCGGAGGGACGCCGTTCTCTGCGCGTCGCAGAGGCGAGGACTTGAAGGCCCAGCGCGTCCCCTCCCGACCTGACGCTGGGGATCTGGGCCTGGGGAGCTGAAGCCCCGGAGCCCGGCTGCTGCCACAGGTGCCCGGCCGCCCCCAGCCTCACTTGCGAACCACATCTAGGGTCTTCGAGAGACGCACAGGCGCAGTCCCCGGGGTGGGGACGCAGGGCGCCCCTTCAGGGTAAGACAGAAAAGGGGGACAGCGTCATGCCAGCCCCAGCAGAACCCACATCAGTTAGGGACGGTGCAGGAGGGTGGTGCCCAGCGCCACCAAGGCGCCAGGCCCAGGTCTGCCCCGCGGGAAGCCCCAGCCCGGGTCCCACCAGCCGCCTTTGAGTCTGGTGAAGCACCACCGCGTTTGGAGTGTCCGTCCTGCCATCCGGGGCGCTCTGTCCTGCCCCTGTCCAACCCCGGAGTAGCTCGGTGGCCAAACCCAGCAGAGCTAGCCCTGGAACCGGACAGGTTGTTTGTCACCACTAGTTGAAAAAACAACTTTTCAGGCTTCAGGGACTTTGGAATTGCAGATATGGAGTTGTAGTCCGGGGCATCTGCAGAGGCCGGGGTACTGCAGGTAGCAATTGTAACTTTTAATTTTTTTTCCTTCCTGTCCTTCCTCTCCCATAACTAAGCTCACCCGCCCCTAAAGGTTTGTCTCCTTAGAGAAGCATCTCGCATAGCCAATTTGTCATCAGTCTTAGGCTCCTACAGCTGCGCCGGCTTCCCCTTCTGAGCGGATGCTGTCCCCGGAGCTGCCTCCAGCGAGGTCCGAGGTCCGGGCCTAGCGAGGCTGGAGAGGGGAGGGCACAAATCTCCCTCACACCAACCCCAGGATTTTCGGACTTGACTATGAAAACGGTTACTAGGCGAATGATTGTTTTTACCAAGTACCCAGTACCTATGTCTATACGGGTGCCAGGAGAAATTTTGCCAAACTTGGCTTATGTATGCTGTTTTTTCCCCAGTAACCTGAAATCATTTTATATTAAACAAAGCAAACAACCAAAAAAAAAAGACTTTGGTGGAATTACAGATTTTAAAATTCAAACATACAGGTCAGTACTTGTTAAATGTTTTGTACTGAACGGTACCCGTTTCTTATATCATTCTTTGATACAGTGACTAGTACATACAAGTGCAGTGTGAGCATACTGAACGCACATATACCACACTGCCTACGCACACATGGTACACACCAAATCACACAGCCATTGTACCCACACTGCACTGCCCGGACTTAATCTTGCACAACACACTGAGCACCTGCCTGTATCCACACTAGTTATGGAGCCTGTTCATGGAGATTCTGTACAGAGAAAAGCTGGCCTGGGTTTAAAATAAGATACAAAGTCAGAGTGGTGGTGCAGGCCCCAAATCCCAGTGACTGGGATGGGAGGTCAGCCTGGGCAATTTAGTGAGACCCTATTTCAAAATAAAATTTAAAATGGATGTAGCTCAGTGGTAAAGTGACCCTGAGCTCAATCTCCATTATTTGTGTATAAATGTATATATGATACTATATATGCAATACCATGTATATGATACAATCGCGTGTGGGTGTGGGTGTGTGTATTGAACCCAGGACCTTACATATGCTAAGCACTCTACTACTGAGCTACACTTCCAGCCCCAATTAACTTTAAAATTTTTTTTCTTTTAATAATTTTTTTTTAGTTGTCCATGGACCTTTATTTTATTTATTTATATGCGGTGCCAAGAATTAAACCCAGGGCCTCACACATGCTAGGCAAGCGCTCTACCACTGAGCCCCCCCAATTAACATTTTTAAAAGCAGTTGAATTTTAAAATTATCTTCAGACTTTAAAAAATTTAAATAATAAAAACTGATATACAAATCTATATTTTTAAATTTTATTTATTTATTTGTTTGTTTATTTACTTTAACTAGGGATTGAACCCAGGGGCTTAACCACTGAGCCACATTCCCCAGTCCATTTTATTTTTTGAGGGCCTCACTAAGTTTCTGAGGCTGGCTTTGAACTTGAGATCCTCCTGCTTCAGACTCCTGAGCCCCTGAGATGACAGAAGTGCACCCCTGCACCCGGCTTTTATCAGGTGTTTTTAAACAACGGGTGTGATGGCTTTTTCAGAGGAATCTCTTAGTGAATTTAAAGCAGTGACTGTGCTTACTTTTAGTATGAATTCCCTGTTTTCAACAACACAGTAGTGCTTTAATTGCCCTGTTTTTTCTCGGGTTCCCTGAAACAAGTTGTTCCTGAATGTCTGCCAGTTGCCGGGCGCTTTCTTTCCCACGTGTGTGAATGGCACAGCCGTGGAGTGCGCCTGGTGTCTTCTCTGTTTCGCACCCCGGCGGCGCTCCCTGCGCGGGTCGCCTGTGGGACCCCACACCTGGGGCTGCAGCAGCGGGAGGCGGTGCCCTGCCCCTGCCCCGCCAGCTCTAACCCGCGACCTCTCTCGCAGTTGGAAATGCGACTGCTCCTGCTTGTGCCCTTGCTGCTGGCTCCGGCGCCAGGGACCTCGGTGAGTACAGCGCGCCCCGCCCCCGGGGGGACCCTGCGGAGGAGGTGAGGCGAGGTGGGCTGGAGCCCATCGGTGGCAGCAATTTACCCAGGAGACAGGGGGGCAGTGCTAGAGAAGATGGGGAAAGAGGAGGCAATCCACATCTCTGCCCTCCAGCTCCTGCAGGAGTTCCCGGGACTGCCCGCAGGGAGACAGGGAACAATCCGTAGGGATGGCAACCTGCCACCAATGGAATGCACCCTTCAGAAGGTGGTGGGTGCATTCCATTGGGCCCTGGCTAATGCTAAGAGAAGAGAGCCCTCTCTCTTGGTGGTGCTCCAAGGAGGAAAGTCAGGTGGGGACCATACCAGGACCAGTCAAGGTGTAGGGCAAGATGGCCCATCCCACCAGACACCTGCAGTCCACCTGGAACCAAATACTGGTGTCCCTCAGCTCCGCTATTTGAGTGTAGCTGTTTGGGGTGTTTGTCAACTTGCTCTGCCTTTGGGGTTTGCCCCTAAGCAGAACTGTCCAGTACAACCTTCTGAGAGGAGCTGCATCTTGGAGACGTTCTGATGTTCAGTAGGTGGCCTCTAGGTCCCTTGTGGCTATTGAACACTTGAAATGTGGCTATTGCAAGTGAGGAACTTTTAAATTTGACTTGGTTTTTGTTTAAATAGTCACATAATGGCTACTGGCTATGGTATCAGAGCAAAACTTAGTGGTTACAGGAAGCCAACTGGCCATCAGAGTAGCAAAGGGACCCAAAGGACAGGGTTCCTTGGAGAAGGTACCTGGGGTCTAAGGATATACAGGGAATGTTCTAGACTGCAGGACCCACTTTGAGGAGGAGAGAGTCTGTGGAGTTGGGTGCTGCCCTGGCTTGCTGGACAGAAAAGAGAGCATAGAGATAGCCAGGCCCCCATTCTGCCTTTGGAGAGCTCTCACTGGGGAGACCACAGCCCTGCCCAGCCTCTGTGAGGCAGGCACAGGTGGGAGAGGAAGGACCCCCTCAAGAAAGGACCCAAACTGTGTGTTGCTGTAGGGAGGGCAGGGGTAATGCCACCTCTGTAGAATGCAGGAGGAAGATGAGCAGAGCAGGCCGGGATGGAGGTCTGTGGTGGGCACAGTCCTCCAAGTGCCTGAGGATCCAATGCTGGTCACAGAGAAGTGGGTGGGCTACAGCCATCCTTCTCCACTACCTGCCAGCTTCCCATGTCACCTCTGCTACCCTGTGACCCTTGCTTCCTAAACGCTACACTCAGATCCTTCAGGGAGTTCTGATGTCCCAGCTGCATGCAAGTCAAAGCCCAGGTGGAGGGGCCATCATGATCCCAGGACAAAATCCCAATGTATGACCCTAGCCAAATCACCAAGCCTAAGATTCCCCTAATTTGGGAGTTACAATGCCCATCACTCAGATGAAACAAACCAGAGCACCCTGGGTCCTTTCTCCCTTAGGAATACCTGGAATAATCTCTTGCCTCCTCCTATTCCCAGCATCTAGTCCCAGATGGGGCTGGTCATGGCCTGGGCTGAGAACCCTGCTCCTGCTGTCCTCTACCCATCTGGTGAAGGGGTCTGGCCCAAGCTGGAAGCTCAGCTGCTTTCATTTCTGGTTCCAGCTGGGACAGGGTCTCCCATAAGATTCCCAGCACCTGGGGATCATTCTCAGTGCTGAACAGGGGTTGACTTGGATGATTAAAGGAGGTAGCTGGCCTCCATTCCCACAATTAAAGGCTGGTGCCCCAGCCTCCATTCCCACCTGCCTCCTCTCCATCTCTCTCCCTCCCCCATACACCACCTTAAGCTGATTCCCCTGGAAGCAGTGCAGCAGAAAGGGGGCTCCTGATTTGCTCCTGGTGGGGGCAGGGTGGATGTTGAACACAGCACAGGGCAGGCAAGGACAGGCCCAGGGCGAGGCTGGCTGCATCAGCCCTTTCTGGCTTCACACCATCATGCAGCTCATGGTCTGGGTAATTACAGGGAATAAAACATGCTAGTGCCACTCGTGACTAAACATGTTCCTTCCGTGGAGAGATGGGACGGAGAGGGGCACAGCACAGCGGGGGGAATCACCCAGGCTAGGGCTCTCCAACGCTGACTGCTGGTGGCCCAGCGCGTAGATGCCATTCTCATGGGTGCTGGGCGCAGGAAGCCGGAGAATGTTTGTAAGGCCTCTCACCTTCGAGAGAGCCCTGTGTTCATGCAGGGCCTGGTGGCACAGTGACTCAAGAGGTTGAGGCAGGAGGATCCCAAGTGTTTGAGACCAGCCTTGGCAACTTAGTGAGACCCTGTCTCAAATAAAAATCAAAAAGGACTGGGCTGAAGTTGTGGCTCAGTGGTAGAGCGCTTGCCTAGCTTGTGTGAGGCACTGGGTTCGATCCTCAGCACCACATACAAATAAATAAAGGCCCATCAATGACTCATAAAATATTTTTTAAACAAGGACTGGGGGTGGGGGCTGGGGGCTGGGGTTGTGGCTCAGCAGTAGAGCACTTGCCTAGCACATTCAAGGACCTGGGTTCCATCCTCAGCACAACATAAAAAATAAATAAAATAAAGGACTGGGGGTGTAGCTCAGTGGTAGCTAAGTGTAGCTAAGTGGATTCAATCCACTGTACACAAACACACACACACACACACACACACACACACATAGAGCCTGTATTCAGACCAGTCCCCACTTCATCCTGATGGGCACAAGGTGACTCCATGGTAGGGAGGTCCCACTTCACCTTGACCGCATCGGCTTGCCCAGCCCAGCCCGACCTTAGGGAAGGGGGGATTTGGAGAAGCTCAGGTAGCTGGACGAGGGAACCAAGACAGACATCCAAAGGGGCCTGGGTCAGAGAACGAGAGCTAGGCCCACACCCGCAGGGAGAGAAGGCTCAGCCCTCTCACCACGGGGTGGCCAGGGCTTAATGCCTACGGGGGAAGAGGTGTTGGAATCCGGGCCTGCACTGCCCCTCACCCCTGGAAAGCTACTAGCCACTGCTCAGTCACTTCCTTTTTAAACTAGAAACTTAATCCAAGTAAAATCAGCTTCGATGTCGTTGAGGGACTACTTTGATACTTGGCTCACTGGTTTTGAAAGCTTATCGCCTTTGTGGCAGCAGGAACTGAAGATGATGCTCAAGACTGAGAGCAGAGCCCTCTGGTATGCCAGGCTTAGCAAGTTGAGTGCAGGCTTCTCTGCCTGGAGTTCTGGTCAGTTATTAAGCAAGGGTGACCAGGTGTTCCACGCTGGAGATGAGCAGCCCTCTGCGTCATCAGAGACCACTGTAACAGTCCCAGCAAGAAGAGCTCACGTTCCCACCTGAGCATTCTCTAAAAATTGGGGGGGGGAGGCTTTCTATTCCTGAAGTCTCTTATGTGGCAACACCCTAAAATAAAGTCCTCTTCCAGAAAATGGGACGTGTTTGCAGTCCATCATCTGCTTCCTGGCAGATTGTGAAGGCAAGTCAGATTCCTGTCCAGCTCCTTAGGACTTACCTAATGTTTCATTTGGCTGTCCCTGAGAAGCAGGCAGGGATATAGTCCCACGGTGACAACCTGGAGTGAGGCTGCCCTGCCATTATGCCCCGTCGTTCCTGTGTGGCTTCCTCTCTCTCTGCCTTACATTTGTTATGCAATGGGTTCTATTGGGTTTTTCTGAGGATTAAGTGAGAGGAATAAGGGTGTCACGTGTGGACTTCTGATGCTAGCTGCAAAATTCTGGTTCCCAGGACTTAGAATCCTTCTTTATGAAGCCTCTAGTCCTTCATTCCCCCACAGATTAAAAGGCTGCTCCAATTCCAGCCATCACATCTGTTTTCCAGTCATCAGGAAGGCATGAGGAGGAAGAGGAAAAGGATAAATACACATGCAAGCCCAACACTTTTACTTACATGACACTGGTGAGAATTTAGTGATGTAGCCACAGTTAGCTGCAGGAAGTTAAGAGAATTTGGCTAAAAGTCAAGTTTTCAAAGATTCTCTCATAATGGGGGAAGGGGAGTGGCTATTGAGGTACTCTTGGAAGTCTCTGCCGCAGATCAGCAGGAAGAGACCACAGCAGCCTCCCTCCAGGATTAGATTAAGTTCCCAGTTTCATAGGCTAGAGCTCTAGAAACTTCTAGAAACAAGTGCCACCAGGCTTGGTGTGGGAACCTGGGGAAGCATTTCTCTGCCTGTGGGTGACATTCCCGTCCTACTTGAGGCCTTCCTGCCCTTTTATATGTCCATTTTTGGGGGCTCATGCTCATGGTCAGTGGGCTGCAGACCCTTTAGTTCTAAGCTAGGCTCTGGCCAGAGTATATCATTGTCAGGGGGAAGAGTCTCTGTTCCTGGGTTGGCAGTTTCCCTACCATGTCTGGCAAACAGTAGGAGTTCAAGAGATGCTGCTGGTACTGGCTACTTTGCCAGGTAAGAAAACCACAGCTGACTGAGGTTAGGTGATGACCCAAGGACATGCAGCTGTGTGTCCCTGTCTTATGTTGATCCCTTTTTTCCTTTAAAGTTCCCTCCCCACATCAATGTTGACCCACAAAAACCTGTGCACAGCCCCGGCCATAAAGCCCCTCACCCAGGGTAGCAGGCCCTGGAAATTCTGGCTCTTCCCTGATGCATGGACCCTTTTAACACCCTCTCTCCCACACTCAGGCCTGACTTAGTTCCTATGGTAAAGCCTCGTTGATTTAATTCTTCTTATTTTATTTTTTGGTACCAGGGATTGAACCCAGGGGCACTTGACCACTGAGCCACATCTCTAGCCCTTTTTATTTTTTTATTTGAGACAGATGCTTGCTAAGTTGCTTAGGGCTTTGCTAATTTGCTGAGGCTGGACTTGAACTTGTGATCCTACTGCCTCTGCCTCCCAAGCTGCTGGGATTACAGGCCTACAGTGTGCCACCACGCTGCTCTGAAGCTTGTTAATTTTGTAAGGGAGCATTTTGGGATGCCAGGGCAGTGTTGCTGTGTCCTACAGGCTTTTTGAACAGGTAAGGGAGTGGTTTTAGGCAAAGGGCCCTTATGGGGGCTCCTAGCTCAAGTTCCTGATGGGTGGTGCTGACTCACAAGCCTGAGCATGCCTTTTTCAGGCTCCCAAGGTGAGGCGGCAAAGTGACACCTGGGGCCCCTGGGGCCAGTGGAGTCCCTGCAGCCGGACCTGCGGAGGAGGCATCAGCTTCAGGGAGCGCCCCTGCTACTCCCAGAGGTAGGGGAGACTAAGGAGAGCC